TTTGCCTTTTTTCACCATAGTTTCTGGTAAATCTCTGTAAAATCCTTTCTCTTTAACTTGTATCTACATACCCTTTGAGCTACAATCCATGGATAAAACACTGAAAGGAAATAAATCAAACATTCTTTTAGTTGCTTATATATTTAGATTTCTCGTATGGAGGAGACCTATTTTTCTGGGTTTTTTAAATTACTAGATGATGATATTAATTAGAATGATATTCAAATTGTTTAGTACACTTGCAACCTAATTTAACTTAAACTCCAAGCTTTATCCCCCTATTTAATGCAAAAGCTAAATTCTTTTTATTTACTGTGTTAATTAGAACATTCTGCTTGTGTGTGTCACCAGTTTTGTTGAGTGTATTTGGTTTGAGTTTGACTCTTCTAAACTTTTGATATAAAAAATAAATACACAATCAGGTCATTAAAAAGCTAATTACAAGTTAATGTCTATAATAAGTACATAGTTGTAATCTAAAAAATATTCTAACTAAACTTTCTTTTTTACAATGGTGGTGTCTAGGCTAGCTTGTTTGCGCCTTGATTATTTCACTGGGTACCTGTTACCTCCCACCAGCACAGGTGCCGAATAACTCTGTCCACCAAGGCTTGGGTAGACGAGAGGAAATTACCTAGTGTTTTTGCCTCTGATTTGAACCTGAGACCTCATGGTTCTCCTCCCACTTTATTGATTACTAGGCCAAACCATGGTGTCTATGTTCTAACTAACCTACTACAACCAGTTAAATTACATCAATAGTGTACGAATAATTTGCAATGTTAGTATGTACAAGTTAAATCCGTTTTGATGTTTGTGGTCGTTTTTAGGGAATAATGGGGAAAAAGGCTAAGAAAAAGGCCAGAAGTGTTGTCAAGGAGAAGCGGAATCCCTTCACTTCTACAAATCCAATTGATCAAAATAGCAGTCAGACTATTGGTACTCCTGATGATAGAGTAGTTGTGGTAAATGATAGAATAGAATGTCCACATGTCGATAAGGGTATTGATGTGGAGAAGGTCTCCGCTAAACTTGAGTCTTCGGAACCTGTTAGGTGTGACGATTGCAGGGAAGGAGTAGCTAATAGACGAGCTAGTAAGACGAAAGTCAAACATGGGAAAAAGAAGGGAGGCGCAGATCCCAAGCAGGGGTCTAAAGCCATTTGGATCTGTTTAGTATGCGGCCATTTCTCGTGTGGAGGTGCTGGGTTCCCTACTACACCTCAGAGCCATGCAGTTCGGCATGCAAGACAGCACCATCACCCTGTCGCTGTACAATTTGAAAATCCTCAACTGCGCTGGTGTTTTCCGTGTAGCACACTGATTCATGCTAAGAAAGTAGAGGATGGCGGTGAACAGAAAGATGTATTTCAGGACATTGTGAAGATGATTAAAAAGCGGCCATCTGAAGGGACGGCTATTGATGTGGAGGCTGTTTGGTTTGGGAGTGGGAGTATCACTAGCGGGATCAAATCAGAAGCTTCTGCTTCACTTGATGCTGATGGAAAAAGTGGTTATACAGTTAGGGGACTGGTTAATTTAGGGAACACATGTTTTTTCAATTCAATAATGCAGAGCCTACTGGCAATGAATAGACTACGGGATTACTTCCTTAAGTTTGATGGATTTGCTGGTCCTATTACTGCTGCTCTGAAGAAGCTCTTTTCTGAGACTAGTGAAGGTGCCTTGAAAAAAACTGTAAATCCAAAAGCTTTCTTTGGTTCAATCTGTGCCAAGGCTCCACAATTTCGAGGATACCAACAGCAGGACAGTCACGAATTGCTTCGTTGTTTACTTGATCGTCTGTGTACTGAGGAATTGACCGCCAGAAAACAAACCAAATCTTCTCAGGATGGTGGCAAGTCCCTAAGTGCATGTCCAACTTTTGTTGATGACATCTTTGGTGGTCGACTCTCGAGCACTGTTAGTTGTCTGGAGTGTGGGCACACTTCAGTAGTGCATGAACCGTTCTTGGATCTCTCATTGCCCGTTCCAACTAAAAAACCTCCAGCTACAGGAGCTAAATCAGTATTCCGTGCCAAAAAATCAAAACCTCCTATGAGAAGTGTAAAAGCTCTCCCTAAAGTTAGCAGAGATGCAGCTCCCCTTAATGCTCAAAGTGCCCAAGGAGATGAGGAGAAATCTGTCACTGAAGAAAGGGCAGTTCCTTCTGCTGATGTATCGCAAGATTCCATTGATGCTCGTGTTATGGCTGAAAATATGGGTTTAACTTCACAGAACTTATGTTCCTCTCCTAAGTCCGATAATGCGCAAAATTGCGAGGGCGTGTCTAGGCAGTTGGCTTCAGTGGACAATTTCACATGGTTGGATTATCTCGATCAGGATACACTGCCAAATGGTGATGACGTGGTTTCACAAGTTGATCACATGCTGACTAATCAGATTTCTGAAACTGAAAATTCTGTTCAACCTGTTGATGCTTTGCAGAATAATCTGGATGCTGATACAGAGATGAAGTTGACATGTATAGACAACGCTTGTTCACCTAATGATGTAATGTGCTTGAATGATCAAGGACAATCCAAATCACCAGACTGCGATATAGCTTCTGAATTCAGTAAAAAGTTGCTGGTTAAAGACTCTGGAATGACAGATGCCATAAATATTGAGCATAGCTCAGCATTCTGCAGCCAGATTTGCTCTGGGGATTCAAATCTTGGAACAGATTCATATACGAAGCTGTCGGAAGATGAAGCCCCTTTACTGTTACAAGATTCCGAGGTTCTGTTACTTCCTTACAAAGAAATAACCTCAACTGCTGGTGACATGTTAAAAGGAGGTTGCGAGGCATCCTCAGCTGCTGCTGTTTGCGAACAAGATTCATTGGACTTCAATGGTTTTGGAGACTTATTTAATGAACCTGATTCTGATGCACAACCTTCTGAACAGCCTTTTTGCAGTGCTGCCGCTTCTCAGGCCAATGGTAGCAGCGAGTCTGATCCGGAAGAGGTTGATAATAGAGATGCTCCAGTGTCAGTGGAGAGTTGTTTGGCTTATTTTACAAAGCCCGAGCTTCTTTCCAAAACTGAACATGCTTGGAAATGTGAAAATTGCACAAAAGTTCTAAAAGAAAAGAGGATGAGATTCAAGAATAAATTGACGAAGCCTAGATCACATAATATGATGAACGGACACGAGGACCAAAATCCAAATGGTGAATCTTCTTCAGGAGAAACTTTTGACGACAGGTTGTCCCAAAACGGAACCAGTCCTCGCGCTGAGCAAGATTCAGCCTCTTGGCTATCAGAAAACGGCACACAGGAAAATCAGGGTGAAGCTAATAGCCAAGTGAATAGTGGCTTTAAGAGCAATGAAGTTCAACTGCTGGAAGCTCCATCAGTTTCTGCTAATTCTGAATCTGAAGAAAGTGAGGATGAGGAGACAGATGTTAAATGTGTTAAAGTTGAGAGAGATGCAACGAAAAGGATCCTAATTGATAAGGTCCCTCCTATTTTGACGATTCACCTGAAGAGGTTCAGTCAAGATGCTCGAGGGCGCCTGAGTAAGCTGAGTGGCCATGTGAATTTTAGAGATACCATTGATCTCAAACCATATATTGCAACCAGGTGTGTTGATTCTCTTTCATTTGGACTTTATATTATCTCTGGACTTTTGAGTATCCCTTGTTCATTAGACTGAGATTCGTGTGTTGATTCCCCTTCATTTGGACATGTAATTATCTCTGGACTTTTGAGTATCCGTTGTTAATTAGATTGAGATTCTAATAATTTAATTCATATTTTAAGGAAAAAACCCAATAAATATCAGCCAAAAGCTTTGGAGTCCATATTAGGAAGTTCAGAGGACAAGCTAGACGACATTTTGTTTAAAAAGCTTCTAGACATCATTAGGTAGTATGATGCATACTTCTTACCTATTAAAGGTCAATGATTAGACATCATTTGTGGGTTAAGAAATTGGGATTTTGTCAAAGACCTCTGGCTTGACCTAGAAGATACTATATTAGAGCAATATTCTCTAGCTTGCATTCGCAATGAATTTGATAAAAAATAGCGCAAGACTAACTGAAAACCATATGGAGTAGGAAGCGGCAAAAATCATAGTATTGGAGCAAGAAGGTAAAAGTCGACAAAACTGCAGTTTACTCTTAGGACCAAGTATGGGCAGGGGCGGATCTAAAGGGAATTATGGGTTCATATTTGATTATGAACCTAGTTATTACTGTATATTAACTTGAGGTCGTTGTGGGAACCCATAATTATAAAATCCTGGATCCGCCCAAGTAAGGGGATATTTTAGTGCATGTGGTGTTTGCTTATTTACTGTGTAAATTTTACTTGTATATTTGCTTCTCAATACAGCTTCCCAGCATGTTAGCTTGAAGCTTTGTATTTCTAATGTCCTTTATAGTATGTCATCAAATATCAAAGATTCTTCCATAAAATGGTCGTATGTTCAATGCACACACAATATGTCATCTTTCTAAGACTTTCTGCAAGATGTAATTTCTCTGCTGAAATGGCGTGATGATAACTTAATGCCGTTTCAGGTCCCTGCAGAAGGAGATATACAAATACCGACTTATTGGTGTAGTGGAACACTCGGGGACGATGAGGGGAGGTCATTATGTTGCATATGTTAGGGGAGGTCCTAAGATCACAGGGAAAGACAAGAATGCGGAAGATTTTGCGTGGTATTATGCAAGCGATGCTTATGTTCGTGAGGTTTCTTTGGAAGAAGTTCTTCGTTGTGAAGCATACATTTTGTTCTATGAAGAAACTTGATATATATATATATATATATAAAATTCTGAAATTTATGATTATTTTGGGGCATACACATACACAGAGAAGGAAAGGGAAGGGGTGTGCTAGGGGAGAGTGAGTGTATTACTACATTCTCTCAATATTAACACCCATTTTTTGTTTTTTGTTTTTTTTCCTTTTTCAAATTTTGATGTGCTATAAGCTTAAGGAAGTACATCTTCGAAAAAATGTATAACTTGAGAATGAGAATATGATTAATTTTGCATTTTGACTCATCAGTTACTAAAGTCTCTCTACCCCCCCAACCCCAAACTCATGCTATATTTTTTTTAACTGTCAACAGTTACTTCACTTAAGAACAGAACTAACTCATATGACTTGAAGGCATATTTATTGATCTAATTCAATTTAAGCCACTTTAAATTTCTTTATTTACTCATTCAAATCCAATTAAAAGAAGAAAAAAACTTCTTGATATTGTTTACCCTGGAATCCGGATAACAATTGAATTTATATGGGGTTTTAAGGATCCGTGAACTAAAAGATACAAAAGGTTTAGGTTGAGGAAAATAAAGATAAAAACTCAACAATTGCTGTTAAAGTAAATAATCGCAGAATATAATATTGCTTAGAACAATTGTGCTTGATAGCGTACAAGAATTTAGAGAGATGGTACTGTAGTGTAATGGTTTTTTCCCGGTCCCCTCTTTATGGGGTCTTCTCCCCTTTTATACATTCTGATTAAGGGTAAAAATAAGGTAGGTAAATTAATTACATCGTGGATCCCTGTAATTACGCCTTAATGGCCTGAAGTGGTTGAGAAAATCACGTTTGGGCGAGATATCCGGCGACGCTTGGTTATCCGTTACGAGTCCGGCTTCCGACCTTGTGTGTTTCTCCATCCGGTGGTGACTCATATCGAGCTCTGCAACGGTCTCGAAATGACTCGACCTCGGTTGTAGACGTGGCCGTCGTTCTACCTTGCATCCAGGTCGGGTTCGATGGCCCCGACTTGCCCCGGACCGGACCCAACCCGGTCGGGCTCAAGCAAAAAAAAGGGTGTCACCCAATACAGATAGTCCCCTCGTTTATTAGAGAGTAATGATAATAAACGATATGATCGGTGACGTGATGCCCGTGACGTATGGCCATACGCCAGGTGAAAAAGCCATCGAGTGCTCTGACCACGCCTGCTGCAGGCATTTAATGCTTCTCTTAATTATCTGTCGCTTCGTGTCTGTGACTTCGCGATTCGTGCCACCGCCTCATGAGAAAAGTATAAACGACCCTTCCAGGTTCAACATTTCTTATCTTTCTCAAATTTTGCGTTGGTTGCATTTTCTTCTCATCTCTTCGTAAAGCTTTAAGAAATGGCGAAAACTTCACAAAGTGTTCCTTCTAGACCAAGCTCGGCCGCGAGCCCCGCTAGATCTGATGAACCTGCACCAGAACCCCCATTGAAAGCTTTCACACCGACTGGTTGCTCGGTATCTGCCGACTTCCAGGTTGAAAACCCATCATCGGTCCCGGGCCGCGGCGAACCGG